CCACCTTGGCCGTTGATCGCTCGCCATAGCATGATGTCATCTGCAAACATGACTCCATTGCAGTCCAGTGCATTTATACAGTCGTTGACACAAATTAAATACAGTACTGGTCGGAGCACACATTTCTGGGGAATACTACTCACAACTAGCACTCGCCTTGATTTCGCACTGCCAATGTACACAGACTGTGATAGGCCTTCCAGAAGCTCTCTACCCAGTTTTATGAGCTCCCCTCGATCCCCCACTCTCGAACTATGTAGAGTAGCTGGTGATGTGGAGCACTATCAAAGGCATTCTTTAAATCGATGGAACCGATGTTGACTCCTGCTCCTTCGTCTAACGAGCGGGACCCCTGTTCCATTTAATAGAGCATATTTGTTAAACAGGAGTGATTTCGTGAAAAGGTATGATGGACACTATCAAAGAAATTCTTTTTTTTCAAGGAAATTCATAATGGATTTTTTGACTACTATTTCCACAAATAGACAACAAATGCCCGTTATTCTCACCGACGAATAATTGTTTGCACCTGTTTATATTCAGCATTGTGAATGGAAAATATATTCGCCATCTTACAATCAGAGGGAAAATTCCTCAATAAAAGGAAAATTGGAAAATATGCAAAAGCACTTTGGCAAGTTCGCAAGCCAGTTCCTTCACAAAATTTGCCGGCAATTGGTCTGGAACCGGAGACTTACACTATTCAAGTGCTAGACGTTTCCTATCTCACATCTCCCCCTGTGAACTCGCTGCTTTCTGTAGTTTCGTCAGTTGATCCAGTAGACAATCCATCCTCGACAATGTCCGTTTCATCGGTGAAAACAGATGCAGAAAACCGGCTTAGGTATTTGCCTTAGTAGTAAGGAATTTCAGCATCCCATCAAGGGGTTTATTAACGCTGCCTATAAAGTGAACAACGTCGTCCATATACATAATAACATTTTGCGAGCTCTACCTATCGTGTCCATAATAATGTGGAAAAAATTTACAATATTCCTGACCGAAACGTATATAGTTCGTAGTTCGAGAAGAATGATTGCTAGTACAGCGGCGTCGGGTTCATAATTATTCTAAAAAGGATGATATTATTGAAAATCAAAAGACGTCCCCTTCTCAAGCCTAAAATGCGAAGATGTAATTTTTTGCTAAATGAGCAAAGGACAGAGCATCTGCACGCCTGTTTTGAATAAAATATATTAAAATCTGTAAGAGCATCGGAAGTCAAGGACAAAAATACATGCCACGTAAGTGGTCATTTTATACGAAATATAATTTATAACGCAGCCGATGAGAAATTCATTTGAAGGACAGCATCCTAATATGACTGGAATGTTTGAACACTGCGACATGCCAACTAATATTACGATGCTATTAAAGCAATATTTTGAATTAGAAATATATTCCGGAATTTCAATCGACGTGTCATGATATAGACTATTTGCTGTCTTACGATAGCAGTGGACATCTAGGCAATTCAGAACGCAGGTGAAACACTGAAAGTTAGCACAAACGCACAGTGCGTGACATATCTCATGAAATGTTGTCCAAAATTCTGAAATGCGTTTTGGATTAGGAATGATTATTTAGGTTGATTAGCATTAATGATTTTCAAGCGGCATAATCATATTGTATTTGGGAATCGTCAGGTTTCGCATTTAAATGCACGTCTTTTCGGCCTCCTTCAGAGATCACATCCGGTAAAAATTCACTGATTACCTAAAATGGATTCTTCACATTCATTTTCAATGGTCTTATAAATATATAAAAATGATGAATAACTGATGCGGTGTGCATTCCGAGGTGATATAATGAGAAAGTGAAGGCTCGTCGGAATATTGAGTTGTACTCGTAAATTTTCAAGTCGGTGACACCGACCCGTCCTCAGACGAAATGAACAGAGGGAAAGTGAAGTCGGCAGACTAGGTCGGCTGGCGCGACAGGACAGACAACGACAAACAGACAGCTGATG